TTATTAAAAATGCTATTTTTAATGCTCTTATTACAATTATTATGTTTTCCATTATTTCAATATAACATTATTTCAAAATTAAAGTAAGCACGCAAGATAGAACTACCACAACTAAAGCAATTTACTTGAAAGCTTAATCTAATTTATTATGTTAGCAGTGTGCATGGTATTGAATAAAATATAATTGTTAGAAATATTTAGTGTAGTTACGATTTCCAAAAAGGTATAAAATGGTCAGCAAGTAGTGAAAATACACGCCTTAAAATAATTACATATTATGTTTGGTACATTTTAAGGGCGGAAAATAATGGATAGTAATAAAGTAAGTGTATTGGCTGTATTGTATCTCATTATGTCTATGCTGGGTGTTCTGTTATGCCGTCCCTTAAAATTGTATTATTAGTATCCTGATCAGAAATGCAGTCAAAATTTTGATTTAGGAGAAGGAAAAATTGAAAGTTATAGGGATTCGACACATTAGTATTGAAGAAGGCTGATAAGAAGAACATCTAAGCCTATTCGATTGCCGGTTGTAACTTCTGGTAACTACAAATAATCACCTTTTTACTTCTATTTATTTCCTCCAATTACAAAACAAGCTTTGATGTTTCGCACCTCCGCTTCTTTCTGTCATGATTTGTTAGATTTCGATAGAGTTTTTGTTCTTACTTATTTTAAATAATTACTTGTGATTCTGATGAGCATGCTTTTTATCTTCATTTGAAGAAAAATTTTATTAAGGGTAGTTATAGCAAAACACCATAATATCAGTTGTTCTTCTTATTGGATAAGAAAGTCACATGACACGATCTTATGAAATATATCATTACTATTAAAACATCTACAGAATGTTCAAAGATAGTGTTCTAGACAGTAAACAAAATTTGTAAAAGATTCTTATTTTCAGTACTGTGTATACTAAAAAGTGGAGCATTAAATAAATAATGAATTTGTCAGTGGCTTTTCAATTAAATATATGATTAAATTTAAAATAAAATTGATTTTAATTGATATGAATTGAAAATGCAATTTTCAATTTAAAAAAAATTTCAAGTGAATAGTCAATAAAAGTTCAAAGATTGGTATCTAATTCGAACTTTTTTTTTTAAGTACAAAAAAAATTCATATTTGCTTAATAAATACGTTAATCGCTACTGTTATACCTCGACTCTATCTAAATTATTTGAAAGTAACACGGATATTTCAAATCTAATATTAAATGTTATTTAAGAGAATTATTCTTATAAATACGTATATTGATTATTTGCTGCGCAATATAATGAATTAATAAAGTACTGTGTAATTTCATCATTATTTAATTTTAGCAAAATGAAAAAACGATGAAATTGTTATTAAAAATTGTAAAAAAAATCGTTTAAATAACTTTGACGAAAAAATTTAACAGTTTTTCTTTATTATTCATTGAGGAATCTTCTTAGTAAAAGATACATTTAACTTGTCTTTTTTTTGCATAAAAGTTCTTTTTTTTTGTTTGTAATAACGTAATTGTGATTTATGCTTAGATTTGAAAATAATTTTTTTAAACATCTACCTTTCATTCGAAGCAATATTTAATCATTGTTATGTAAATGTATCGATTAAACAATAAGTATTCCGATAACATCCCCTAATATTTATTTTAATGAATAGTATTTAAATTTGAACTGCATGTTTCAAAAGTTACAACGGTTTAGGTTTTAACAATAATCATGCAATTTTAAGCGATCACTTCCGGGAATTTTAAATGAAATCCGAGCTTTTCTTTTCAAATAAAAAAAGGTATATACATGTACATATTAAAGATTTATATCGACTTTCCTTTTTACTAAGTTTTACGTTATATAATAACAAAGTATCTTTTAATTTCATCAATACTTTCGCTAATTTATAATGAAATAATGATAGAAAACTTTTTAAAGTATTTTGATTTTCAATGTAAAAAGAAACCCAATTTTAACTGAAAAAATTAGTCCAGCGCACACATGAATAAATTTCAATCGAAAATATTTTTAATCAATTTTGAGCATAAGGAACGAAACAGTTTCTTTTTTTTTTCCTCTGCAAAAATGCGATGGCCACTGGAAATTTAAAGTAACAGTTTTGTCTAAAATAAAAAATAACAACAATTATATTACTAATATAACGCGCATTCTTTCACTACCACGTTTGGAAACGCATGCTTGAATTTGTGAAAGGAAGAAATTTAAATCAGCAAATTTATTTTATATATCTAGTTGGAGCATACGAGTAAGTTGAAATAAAATTAATTATGCTTTTAGACTAGAAATTTCAAGATACTCTTTTGTCAGAAAAAAAAAATCTGCTTTCTCAATTTCTTTCAACTCGGTGATTTTAATTAAAGCAATTTCATTATTTATTTAGTAAAGTAAAATACTCATAACAGCCGAGTGTTGAGCACAATTCCACTCACTAAATCACTAAATTCCACACACTCAATTCACTAATATATACATATAAATATATATACACCGAACAGCCATTCCATTATGACCACCACCCTGCTAATAACATGTAGGACCACCTTTAGCCCTCAAAACTGCTAGCACCCGCCGTGGCATTGATTCCACTAGGTGCTGATAGGTAGTCTGAGGTATCTAGTACCAAGCGCTCACCAACTGATCCTGCAATTCCCTCACATTGCGAGGGGGTAGCGTGGCAACACGAATTTGGTTTTCCAAGTAGGACCACAAATGCTTTATTGGATTAAGGTCAGGTGATGTTGGGGGCCAAGACATGACTTGAAAGTCACTGGAATGTTCCTCGAACCAATCCATGACGATTCGACCCT